ATTTCAATTAAAATTTCTTTTAGGTAAGGAAGCCATGCGTTTGCAGAGACACAGTCCTGTATATTTTTGTGAATTTACAAAACACATTATGTCATTTGAACAGGGAATACATCTCTGTACATACATGATATCATTTCTTCGATCTTTACTGTATCTGATCTTTAAATTCAATGCCATAACAACAATTAAAGAAAAATACGCTTTCACATTTACTCCTAACAATAGGAACAATGACTAACAGATGCATGAATAGCGTTCACCTATGGTCCAGTTAACACTGCTAAACAATTGAGAATGGCGTTTGTAAAAAATCTACCTCTGTTCATTCGCACCGGTGCGAATAAGTATAACTCTATTTTCATCCATAAAATGCCTTTTCATCATGAATATCCCCCCCCCAAAAAAATCCAGAGAACTTCAGCTTGAAAATAGAAATTAAGATTGTCTGTATATATATACTCCTGTTATTCGCACCGGTGCGAATAAGTATGGCCCTATGTCCTTTCATAAAATGCCAATTTTAGAGTGAATATCCCCCAAAAAACTCCAAGCCCCATTTTTTATATACTCTCCCCCAAAGAAACCCTTTTCCCGGGAAATCTTCCCTTTCCAGAGCATTTTAGCTTGAAAATGGAAAGGTCGTCGGTATATATATACTCCTGTTATTCGCACCGGTGCGAATAAGTATGGCCCTATGTCCTTTCATAAAATGCCAATTTTAGAGGGAATATCCCCCCAAAAACTCCAAGCCCCATTTTTTATATACTCTCCCCCAAAGAAACCCTTTTCCCGGGAAGTCTTCCCTTTCCAGAGCATTTTAGCTTGAAAATGGAAAGATCGTCTGTATATATATACTCCTGTTATTCGCACCGGTGCGAATAAGTATGGCCCTATGTCCTTTCATAAAATGCCAATTTTAGAGGGAATATCCCCCCAAAAACTCCAAGCCCCATTTTTTATATACTCTCCCCCAAAGAAACCCTTTTCCCGGGAAGTCTTCCCTTTCCAGAGCATTTTAGCTTGAAAATGGAAAGATCGTCTGTATATATATACTCCTGTTATTCGAACCGGTGCGAATAAGTATGGCCCTATGTCCTTTCATAAAATGCCAATTTTAGAGGGAATATCCCCCCAAAAACTCCAAGCCCCATTTTTTATATACTCTCCCCCAAAGAAACCCTTTTCCCGGGAAGTCTTCCCTTTCCAGAGCATTTTAGCTTGAAAATGGAAAGATCATCGGTATATATATACTCCTGTTATTCGCACCGGTGCGAATAAGTATGGCCCTATGTCCTTTCATAAAATGCCAATTTTAGAGGGAATATCCCCCAAAAAACTCCAAGCCCCATTTTTTATATACTCTCCCCCAAAGAAACCCTTTTCCCGGGAAGTCTTCCCTTTCCAGAGCATTTTAGCTTGAAAATGGAAAGATCGTCGGCATATATATACTCCTGTTATTCGCACCGCTGCGAATAAGTATGGCCCTTTGTCCTTGCATAAAATGTTTATGCACACGGGCAAACTTTCAAATTTCATTTATAAATTTCTTATTTTATATTGTGAAGATAAAATATAAAACAACGCTTGAAATTTGTATGTTTATTATGTAGGCTACATATAGATTCAGTCCTGAACTCTTGATTTCCCTTTCCTGTATTTAGCAGCACCTCCACCTATAAAACTCTCAAATACTGACCTCACATCGACCAATGGTTTTCATTTGACATAACGTCAATAACGTCAAATATTATTCACCCCGCGGAGCGAATAACAGGATAATGCCCTAAAGAGACCTCTGTCTTAATGAATTGGGTCTTGTAGTGAATATTACTGACGATAAGCATCTATTTTGCAATATACAAATACACTTTACGCTCACATTTAGAATTCATTATGCCGGGTCCCCAATAAAATGTATTTCTTATCATTCTCATATATGTTGTACAAAATGAAAGATAAATATTCCAAGCTATTTTGGATAACAAGAATTAACAAATGTATTGATATTTATCAAAATGTTACCTAAAACTATTGCGTTTGTAGCAATAGTGCAGATGCGGAAGTGTGCAAGACGCCATTTTGAAAATTGTGCATGTTATTTTCAAATGTTTTTAATCTTCGTGTTTACAGTTTCTATCCACTTAAAAAAATTAATCTTGAAAGTTAATAAAATAATCTCATTAAACTGATAAAATTCCTTGGTTGTTTACTCTAGATTTCAAAGGGAAGGGGGGAATGATGTTAAACACCATCATTGTGTGAGCTGTCGTCATGCAAACCTTCTAGAACATTTATTTTTAAATCAAACCATAATTTTTTACCTTTCTCTTCTCCAAATTACGAACTTTCTTGTCCATGACAACCAGGACTTGTTTCATTGGATCCGCTGCCTCCGGAGAGGACTTAGTTTCTTGTTTTGTAGAGGCGGCAGGCATCGTTCAACAGCAACAACTCAGCATAAAGACAGATTCACGTGCTTGGGGATCAAATAGCTCCCAGTCATTCAAATATCCGGTACATACAAATTTTGATAATTCTTCAAAATTTGGCTTAAGAAATTATTGAATTCAAGTATACTATTTATTAAATATTGAATTATTACGTTTATGTACTTGATTAAACAGTGCAAACAAATTTTTAAGGGATTTTTATTAGCCAAGTTTTGTGCCGTATATTTTGGAAAGTGGTATATGAAAATTTGCATGAACGACAACTCCTTTTTCACAAAGAGATACCATTGGCGGATCCAGGAATTTCCTGAGAAAAAAATTGAATCAATTTTTTAAGAATTCTTACTAAATGTATTAGCACAGACATTTGACTTTATATATATTTAAGAGGCATATATATCTCTGATTTTCACACAAAAAAATTAACAACATACAATTTAGCTTTCCTAAAAAATCACTAAAGGGCATCCTCGCAATGCCAGGGGTCCTGAGTCAACACGTTACCGTCTAACGGCAACGTGTTGACTCAGGACCCCTGGCATTGCGAGGATGCTGAAGGGACGTGGACACAGGTTTGAAGTTAATATTTTTTTCAAATTATAATATTTCAATTTCAATTTTACTTATTGACAACACCATCTAAATTGACTTATATGTTCTAGGAGTGTTTCATACCAAATATAATAAAAGAATGTTTAGAAACTTCTTTTTTACTGGAAACTGATTGACACACGTCCTAGCAATTTCACAAAGTAAATTTTATCCTTAATCATGTTAATATTAAAGAAAAGTTGTGAATTAATGAAAAATCAAAAAGTGAAAGTAATCAGCCTGTAATCGATTACTTTGAAAATCTAAAGTAATTGTAATTTTATCGATTACTTATGATATCCCACTCATCATAATCCATGGGATTTATCCCATGCTTAACAATGTATGGGAGAAAATGTCTCATGAGCATTGACAATATCCGTTGGATTTATCCCATTTGAACAAATTTGTGGGAGGAAAAAATCCCAATGGGAGAAAATATCCCATCTGAAACTTTTTCTCCCTTTTTTCTAGGAGAAAGGCGGGTTAGCCGTTCGGACTAAAAATCCCACCATTCTTCCATGGGATTCTGACTTTTAGGACTTCATATCTTTAAAATAAGAGATGTTTGCGAGTTTAACATGAGACCCTGTGATACTGCTAAGAAACCCCACCAAGTGCTATAATTTATTTTTGGACATCACAATTAGAAATGGTAGCAAAAAGTCTGGACAATGTCGTATCTGGAGTTAAATGTCGCACTGATCCCCATCCTTGTTTCCTCCAGTTTCACTGATAGGGGACTATAACACTAAGCATTCTAAGGCCAACTTTAAAATAATATTTGATTGTCCTCTCCCGACTCAAGATGACAAAATAGGGTCGGTAGGTAGGTGAGGAAAATTTTTTTCTCAGAAAATTTCAATTTCAATGCTAAATTTTTTAAAACCTATTTTCCAGAATACATAAAAAATAAATAAATAAAATAATTGCTTCATGGAGGTTAAAAAAGTTTTGAGCCGGGTCATTTTTAGCCAGTCGGTCGGGAGAGGGCAACCAAACATTTTTTTTAAGATAGCTTAAGAGCATTGCATTAACAATACTAGCTAGTCCCCAACTGTCAAGTGCAATCTGGTTCCCATTAACATTTAAAAATATGCCATACCTCTGACAAAAAAATCATTGAAGTATATAGCAATATTCCCTTATCACCTGCATATGGTGTTTACGCCTCCCAACTATATGCGATATTTAAGAGCATGCACTGAATACGACAAGTTTTTAAATCGAAGCAAGCTACTGACAGAGAAGTTAATGTTTCATTGGATTTCAAAAAAAAAAAAATTATAAAGATTTTTTCCAAATATTCCTATGCATAACTTTGATCCCCTGTTGTAGCCAAAGCCTGATTTGAACATCTTGAATCCACACTGCCCAAGGATGATTGCTTATTTTTTTTTTTTTTACATCTGTCATCCCCTGTGGTAGCCCAACCCTACCCCCAGAGGTTATGATTTGAACAAACTTATCTACACTATATAACGAAGCATTCATTCTGTTAAATCCCTTTGCTTCTCAGCAGGTCAGGTGACCATTTATTCTGTTCTGTATTCTGTTAGCTGTTTTGATAACAGACCAGAAAAACCAAACCTGGTAGGAAATATACTTGTGTTACCTGAATAAAGTTGTCAAGTCTTATGTGCCTGAAAAAGGCTTATGAGACTTTGAAAAATAATTATTTATAATATACATGTAATGCAAACATGACTTGTTTTAATGCAAAATCGAGTGCACTTTAGTTTTAGGAAGATGCACACGCTTCAGAGATATAGCAGGAATATTTGCAAAATTGCTGATTCAAATCTGACTGATTTCTAAGAATGTTCACATACACCAAAGGCCATAACTGAACCCACAAATACTACTACCATATATCTGCAATATACACTTTAAGTTTCAGAATTCAGATATAGACAATGTTATGTCAAATTCATGTTTTTTACAACAAACACATTAGGGGACTGTCTCACATTTATTTTACATGTATAACATCACTGAACCAAAGCAGCAGCTGTAGCAGACTCACTGAAAAAGGAAGAAAATAAAACTTAATTTGAAATAAATGAACATTGTTAAATGTTAAATTACACAATATTTGAGCAGGATTTATAGAGATTCCTAAAAATATTTTTTTCTCCAATTAAAAAAAAATCATCCATTTGGACTTACTATTTCCAGTTAGGTGGCAGAACTTTCTTAGTTTTGTAATATCTGGCCAGTCTGTGAATTCTGCTCTCCACCAGAATCAATCTGAACTTGGAATCTTTGTCCTACAGTGTAAACAACAAAATAGTACAAATCTCTTTTCTGCTTAAACTTTCATTAAGGCGTGACATTATTGGCAAAACATAATTAGCGTCTCTCACATAGTGACCTAGATTCTCATTGGTTGCCGGATTAGCTCATCAATACTGAAATTTACACAGATTTTCATTCACGGGTGAAATACACATGGGATAAAACTGAGTCAGAGTCAAAGAGTGACACAAGGAACCAATTACATCGTTTCTTACAGTAAAGAGGTGTGGCTTATGTTACCTAATCGTTTGTTAACAACAATCTGAAGTTGCTAATGTTATTAAATTCTTAACCAATGAGAATCTAGGTCACCATTGAGAGACGCTAATTATGTAACGCCAAGAATGTCACGCCTTACTGAAAGTTTTCCTTTGGTGATTGGAATACAAACATTATACAAGCAAGTTTGAGACTAGGTGAAACAAGCATTATACATACAAGTTTGAGACTAGGTGAAACAAGCATTATACATACAAGTTTGGGATTAGGTGAAACAAGCATTATACAAACAAGTTTGAGACTAGGTGAAACAAGCATTATACATACAAGTTTGAGTCTAGGTGAAACAAGCATTATACATACAAGTTTGAGACTAGGTGAAACAAGCTTTATACATGCAAGTTTGAGACTAGGTGAAACAAGCATTATACATCCAAGTTTGAGACTAGGTGAAACAAGCTTTATACATATAAGTTTGGGACTAGGTGAAACAAGCATTATACATCCAAGTTTGAGACTAGGTGAAACAAGCTTTATACATACAAGTTTGGGATAAGGTGAAACAAGCATTATACATACAAATTTGAAACTAGGTGAAACAAGCATTATACATACAAGTTTGAGACTAGGTGAAACAAGCATTATACAAACAAGTTTGGGACTAGGAGAAACAAGCATTATACATACAAGTTTGGACTAGGTGAAACAAGTATTATACATACAAGTTTGGGACTAGGTGAAACAAGCATTATACATACAAGTTTGGGATTAGGTGAAACAAGCATTATACATACAAGTTTGAGACTAGGTGAAACAAGTATTATACATACAAGTTTGGGACTAGGTGAAACAAGCATTATACATACAAGTTTGGGATTAGGTGAAACAAGCATTATACATACAAGTTTGGGATTAGGTGAAACAAGCATTATACATACAAGTTTTGAGACTAGGTGAAACAGGCATTATACATACAAGTTTGAGTCTAGGTGAAACAAGCATTATACATACAAATTTGAAACTAGGGAAACAAGCATTATACATACAAGTTTTGAGACTAGGTGAAACAAGCATTATACATACAAGTATGGAATTAGGTGAAACAAGCATTATACATACAAGTTTGGGATTAAGTGAAACAAGCATTATATATACAAGTTTTGAGACTAGGTGAAACAGGCATTATACATACAAGTTTGAGTCTAGGTGAAACAAGCATTATACATACAAATTTGAAACTAGGTGAAACAAGCATTATACATACAAGTTTTGAGACTAGGTGAAACAAGCATTATACAAACAAGTTTGGGATTAGGTGAAACAAGCATTATACATACAAGTTTGGGTCTAGGTGAAACAAGCATTATACATACAAATTTGAAACTAGGTGAAACAAGCATTATACATACAAGTTTTGAGACTAGGTGAAACAGGCATTATACATACAAGTTTGAGTCTAGGTGAAACAAGCATTATACATACAAATTTGAAACTAGGTGAAACAAGCATTATACATACAAGTTTTGAGACTAGGTGAAACAAGCATTATACATACAAGTATGGGATTAGGTGAAACAAGCATTATACATACAAGTTTGGGATTAAGTGAAACAAGCATTATATATACAAGTTTTGAGACTAGGTGAAACAGGCATTATACATACAAGTTTGAGTCTAGGTGAAACAAGCATTATACATACAAATTTGAAACTAGGTGAAACAAGCATTATACATACAAGTTTTGAGACTAGGTGAAACAAGCATTATACATACAAGTTTGGGATTAGGTGAAACAAGCATTATACATACAAGTTTGGGTCTAGGTGAAACAAGCATTATACATACAAATTTGAAACTAGGTGAAACAAGCATTATACATACAAGTTTTGAGACTAGGTGAAACAAGCATTATACACACAAGTTTGAGACTAGGTGAAACAAGCATTATACATACAAGTTTGGGATTAGGTGAAACAAGCATTATACATACAAGTTTGGGACTAGGTGAAACAAGCATTATACATACAAGTTTGAGACTAGGTGAAACAAGCATTATACATACAAGTTTGGGATTAGGTGAAACAAGCATTATACATGCAAGTTTGAGACTAGGTAAAACAAGCCTAATCTGTGTGTACCTTCCTGTTCCTTTCCATGTGTTTTCTGATGTTGACAGCCTTCTTGATGAGGTGGTAAAGATCCTCAGGAAGATCAGGGGCCATGCCCTTCTTCTTCAAAATCCTCAGAATCTTATTTCCTGTGACAAAGCGGACTTGGGCCACACCATGAGAGTCACGAAGGATAACACCTGTAATATTGGATAATTCATTGAAAAAAAGTGATCAAGATTAATGCAACAATAGTTCATATTTTCTATTTTTTTTTCCACATTACATATACAGGTACATTAACTTTGCATCATGTTATGTTTTGCTTCTTATTCAAGTATTGGAAGAATACTTTCCCTTGAAATGCCCCAGCAAAGGAGATACTGATATTCTTTAACTTTTCTCTTACACGATGTAACATACAATCACTACATATATATTAAAAACATGCATATTACATAAAATTTCTCAAGGTTGAAAAATAAAAGTAGTGTCAGGCATTGCAATAAGATGCAATACTTCATGTATTCAATTTTTTTCTGTCAGATTTTAGAGTTGTACTACATGATAAATTTATTACAAGAAATAACAATAAAAAACTTGAGGCAAACTATTCAACTGTTTTGCGCCCAATTATGAAAAAAAATGGTTCATTGGTAATGGTTAAATTTGATAAACATACCAATTTGTGATGGTGTCAAGCCTTTCTTGGCCAGCTTCATAATTTGTTCTTCTACATCCTCAGATGTCAACTTCAACCACTACAAAAAATTTATATACAATTTATTTCTGTGCAAACCTCAGGGTGTAGTATGGAATAAAACACTGGACAAATCCCTGTACACCCTTGATTGAACCTGGAAACTAAAATAAACCTGACAAAATCTTCTCAGAAAAAAAACTTACTGTGGGTACAGATCTGCGATATGGCAAAGCTGACTGGGAAATACCTTTCCTGAAATGAAAGTTAAACAAATGTTATAATTACAAATATCTTTTCAGGAATGTATAAAGTCAGCTCAATTACCTTCTAATAAAATTATAAATAAAGTATGGCATATGTATAAACTTAAAACATTTGGCTAAGATTGCATTTTAAAAATGTTTCACTATATAATCATGATAATATTTTCAGCTATTAGTAACTATCAGGGAATACAGGTGGTTACGTTCTGCTTACTTGTTTGACCCGAGTGCATGGTCACGATCCAATTACCTTATCAACCCGAGCGGTTTCGCTCCGAATCAAAAAGATAATCAGTTTCTAGAAAATTTAAGGAGGCTGGGGGGTCAACAAATTAACCACTAATTAACCACCAGATTTAACTTAATTTTTTAGATATGATATCTTAAGCTGTCAACTATCATTTGGCAAAGAAAAATTTCAAAAATTTTAGTTTTAAAATTTGATCATTTTCTATATCTTCATATGGAGCTCTTCTTCTAAAGGAGATCAATATAGTCTAAAAATGGCCACAACCCCCCAGCCTCTTTAAAATTCTTTTATTAAATATCTCCTCTACAAATGAAAACTTTCACCTTTACACTTATCACACATTTTTAATCATTAACATGGTTTTATTACACAATATTTATATCTTGTATGCAGTTTGAATTCAGAACTATTATTCTTTCTTTATACAATTCATAATTGAAAATTCGTAGCAATTATGTTTTTACTAGTGCAACTCCTTTTGTATTCTTTCAAAATCATTTCGGAGCGGATCTGCTCCGATTTGCACCATTGCAACTACATGGGACGTATTTTAACTGTGGTGAGGGTTTGTCTCGAGACACAGATTTAATATTGTAACAATATTTCAGCAAGCTCAGATCCCCCCCCCCCCCTTTCTGTCGATTGTGAAATGATACTCGCTATAATGGTAATCAGGTAGTACAGCGTGACCAGAAAAGTTATTTTATTTGTATTTATTTTATTTACACATGCCATACAATGTTTAAGCATACAAAAACACGTATATATTTCACTGACAAACAAGAGGTGTCTTGTGTTGTTCACCACGTGCAAGTAAATAACCAGTTTTTACATTTTCATGGAGGGAATTGTTACATTTTATAAGTGAAATTGAAAACCTATAGGTTTCTCATTTCATTTTATAACATTTTTACTCCGTCATATCGTTTGTTTGAGGTAAATAAATGCCAATTATTACGAACCCGGGACAGTGCATACGACCCATGATGGCAGCGTGTGTGAAAGAGGAAGTGACGAACCATTGGACTAGCGCCATCTACTGGAGAGATCCAGAACATTTAGCGGCACACTACGAAAGCTTAGTGATAACGCAAAATACACAGAGGTCTTTTTCCACTCGGAAATGCAGAAAAATTCGACGAACACGTCGATCTTTCGCGCCTTTGAGGCTTTGATGAAAACAGAGATGAAAGTTTAGATTTTCGAGAATTAATGCGCGTTCAGCCTCTTAGTTCAAGAGAAAATTATAAACGGGAAATCAATGATTTGAATTAAGTATTTTTGTAACAAGTTAAAGCTATATATGGCGTATCTGAGCTAAAAAAAAAATAATAATAATACGAGATTGAGTGTAGATATACATGATATATGTTATATACGTTCAAATTAAATTTTTACACCGATTTTTAACTTGAATAACCACACGTTTCTATAGTTAAATTGATTTAAACTCATTTACCGTGCCTGTTATTTAAATATGGAGTCGGTAAATAAATCGGTTAATGTTTTAAATTTCTTATAACTTGGAAACGCGATTGATTTAAATTGTGTAATTTAAGGGAAAGTCCCATCTTTACATAAGGTAATAAATCAAATAGAAAAATCTTTTTAATTTTAGTTAGTCTGAACTTTTCAAAAATTCGCCATATATGACTTTAAAAGCTGAATCAGCTCTAGTTTATTGTCTACAAACTATTTTTCCCGACAAGAGATTGCTATGGTAACTGTTTGTGAATAAATTTTGTAATTTTGATGATGAACATGGTGACTTGGAAAAGGGGGATAAATCTGTTTGAGCGCTTCTTTTATGACGCGAAGATTATTATGACGTCACAATGTCAAAGTGTAGGCAACGAATGTCGGAACCTTGTTGTGCTTATGTGACAGCTTATTATTCGGTGGAAATATCTACGAAAAGGGATGAATGATTGCGATCAGGTTAGTGGTTTAATTAATACGATTATGGAATAAATAAAAATACAAGTAATGTTCACAATATACAGAAGCATATCATTTCCGCTGCCATTTTTTTTTATCAACGGCGTTGGAATTTGTACGTACATGCATAAGATGCGAGATATTGGTGCCCACATTTAAGGAACTCGAGTCTGTTTTGATTAGTTATCTGGCTTTTTTTTAAATATTAAATGATTTTGGTGAAATCTGGGATAGAAAATGTGGGCTTTTGAGTGTATTTGGCACTATGTTTGTACTTAGTTTACTGGAGAAGCTTTGCCGTCAACATTTGATCTTTTGAGTTTAGAGATTGACATATTAACAGCGAGATTTTCTTACAACCGTTGTTACAGGGGAGTTTTAATAATTCACTAAGTATCTCTTAAATACCACTACTTTTTAAGAATCTGCTATTTTTCAAAAATAATTGTGATATTAAGGTCAAGATCTAGTAAATAAAAGGAGCCTACAGATTTCTCAAATTTGAGAAATAAATTCATTTAATGAAGCTTTATAAGTATAGCTTGGTCAAATAAGGTGTTTCGGGGCATAATTTGTAGGCAAACAAGACGAAAAATCATATCTTAAGGAAGCGATTGCAAGGCGTCACGTGACCGACTCATGTGATGTTTAAAAAAAGAAGATTTACGGTAACCATTTCCGGAATAACAGCTGAATAAGGAGCGTGATTATGATTACGCCCATGACAAAAGATCTTCGTGGCAATGTTTTTAAAACAAAGAAAGAATAAGATAAATATGTGATGTTGCAGAGTGTTGGTGAGCGTGACGCGGATTTTTTTTTTATCCTGCAACTACCCCTTGCATTGACCTAATAAAGGTAACCTAATAAACCAAAGCTTTATTCGGTCAATGCCCTAATAAAGCCTCGTGCATGTATTCCGACGTTCTAAAAGCATTGTGACGTCATACACATTGCAATGTTTACGCCGTGGCGTCCTAGTTTCAACTGCAGAGATGTGCCTAAATCTGTTGAAAATAGCTCCTGTTGGACGTCAAATGTAAAAATATGTTGCAGGATAAACAAAATACATCGATACTGTCTTGAAATATAAGCGATATTTGGGCTCGGGTCGAAAACGTGAAGGAGGGCTCGGCAAGCCTCGCCCTCCATCACGTTTTCTTACCCTCGCCTAAATATCGCTTATATTTCAAGACAGTAGCCATGTATTTTATATTTTTATCCCTGTGTTTTTTCGTTTTGACACGTCTACCTTTTGTCGTAGTTCTGAACACTGAAATCTATTTCATGAATAAATTTAATTCATATCTGGATCTTTATGTCCTCTAGTTTTATTTAAAATATTAGAATTTTATTTGAGATCGGTTTCTTTCCTATAGGATCTACATCTATGAATAGATATTCATTTCCTAGAAGCTTCAGAATGCGTGATTTTCTCAGTGATTATAATGAATATAGGCTTATATGGATGGACAGATAAACGAATGCGATTTTCATATATTCGTGTATAGACCAGTTTGAGGTCGCATGCTGGACATGAACGTAGTTTTAAAAATATCGCAGAGGAAATTGTTTTCCTCTGTAAGATCTTCTCTAGCATTTTCAACTCTTACATCGACCATGTAAACATTGAATCGTCGGCACATATATTGCGTAAACATTTGTTGTGGTAAAAGTTTTATTTAGTAAAAATTGAAACTTAACACACTTCTTCTGACAGAAAATAAAAGTTTCTTTTTGCAAATTTTCACAAATCTAGCAAAAAATACGCGTGTAAGAATGACAGACGAAACTAAGAGAGGTTAATTCTGACAATCGAGGTACTACGGAGGTACCAGGTAAATTATTTTGAGCATATAACGTTACTTTAAAAAAAACATTGCAGCATATCATGCTCACGGGAATATATTTGAAAAATGAATTTAATTTTTAAAATTCACGAGGACATGAACAAAGTCGCTTCACCTCAGCATATTTCATGAACCGCGTGAGCATGAAGCGCAAATTTATAAATGTCATTCTACGATTATTTTTGAAACAAAACAGTTTGCACTATAGTTTTGACGTCAAATGTGGCATTATGACGTCACAATGGAGATATGTAGGTTTACCTAGTTCATGAGAAAATGAATTGTTTTCTAACATGCAATGAATCTGAAGGAAAAATATTTGCAAATGTAAATATGAAATAGCAAATCACTAAAATTTGTCAAATAAGATAATAGCTAGGATTTTTATATACGATATATATTGCAGGTACAAGTTCTCTGAATCTCTGAAATAACCTATTCATTCAATGTGTTCAAGTGACTGCCCCCCCCCCCCTGCCTTTCCGATACCAAGGCACAGTGCAGAGAACTCGATGAGTGTTCAGAGCATGAACAATTTGGCCTTTAGACCACTGTGCACTGGTTTAGAATGTATATACTTATATTGATATAATAACGGAATGAATATTTTGGAGATGAGGAAATTAAAAAAAATATGCATATTGTTGTTTTTTGTGTACATGATACTTATATCATTCTGCTATCATTCTGCTCTACGTATAAAATGAGCAACCACCACAAGATTTTCAGGAAAAAGTATTTATTAATCTATACGTATTTTCTATAGTTTTTTTTTTTAAATCAGACTATGCATATTAAAGGTTCAGCAACAAACCATCAGATTAAAATTTATGAAATCTTTTAATATTTTAGGAAGGGGGGGGGGTATTGAAATGCATGTAACTTAAAAAAGAATGTGATGATCCCACTTCATATTTTAACCATAAGTCACTTATAATAATTGTTACAAAATATATTAATTTTAGGAAAATTCATTGGGCAATTTTTTGTCAAGACGTTGAAAACTGCTCTTGGGGTGAAAATATTACTGCAAATTTACAATGACTACTCCCCAAAGTAACTGTGGCATTAGTACACCTATCAATAGTTTCCGATACAATTTTTATTTTCGATGAATATAAAGCATATTATTTAATATCTGGTGAAAATTATTTAATTTGTTTCAATTTTGATACCTGTATAGCATACTTAAAATTTCAGTACATAAATATCAAAATATTGAAAAACGGTGGTTACCATGGCAACCATATCTTCCTTATAACCCTGATGACCATGGTTGAAATTTTCAAATTATGATACGATTAACGTAAGGCAAATTATATGTAAAAATGAGAAAAAATCATAGAGCGGATTTTTTTCATGTACCCTTGCAATCTCTTCCTTAAACTTTCATTTTCAATGAAAAATTAAGAAAATCAGTCATGAATATGGGAGTTTTTTCCATACCAGACAAATTAAATGTATCCAGATTGCCTACAGTCTCTCAGAAAACGGTATTTTGTATGTTCTTAGCCTCTTCTTTAAAATAATATTAAATTGAAAATAGGTTTCGGGATTACTTTTCACATGATTTCAAATTGAATTCCAGAAAAGTACTTTATTTTCTACATAATTCTTTTACAGCTGTAAAGTACGGGAAAAAGAAAGTTTAATTTGATTATGACGTCATAATGGATCTAACATCAAAAAGGCAGTCTAAAATCATTTACTAGATCTTGACCTTCAATCACTGATTATTCAGAATACTTTTTAACGTCACAATATCAATTGTGACGTCAGAATATTGACTTTAACTACGAATGGCGAAATATTGTTGTCATTCTTTTCATTGATCCAGCAGAAGCGAAACAGTTACTGTATTTGGAAAAAAATATGATAAGTCCTATCAAGGTTTGTTATCAGGTCAATAACAAGAAAAATTTGTTCTTTGAGCATTGGTGGAGGAAGTTTTATTACTTAATTACTTGGTTTTCTGGTGACTTTAAAAAAATCCACCAACTTCAAGATAGATTTCACGTGTTAGTTATGTGTGCGCAATATCATCTTACTACCCCCCCCCCCTCCCCAAGAAGGTGTTACAATTATATATTTTTTTGGTCTTATCTTTGCAGAACGAAAATGAAATACTGGATTTTGGGAAGGAGACTGTAAAAAGTGTGGTAAGCGGAATTACTGAATCTAAATGAAGGAATAAGAAAACAACGGGGGGGGGGGGGGGTTCAAGCTACACTTGCCCTGGATTGCGTTAATGCTTGGATTAAAGCATTCAAGCTTGGTTGTACAAAGAAAAGTAAAAATTCATACTGCATAAGGGGCTTCATGCTTACATGATTTACTTCCAGGACGAGAAGTTGCCGATTCTCAAATTCCACTACAACTGGGCCGAGATGGTAGAAAAGGTGGAAGAGGAGAAATTAAAGGAAGAAAAGGTGAGATATACAGTAAAAGTCATTCTCCTAGAACATTGGTATGAGTGATTTTCTGATTAATTGCTTCTGAATATTTGGTTCCTCGAATCTGGAAAAAAGGGGGATGACACTGAAGGTCCATTTCATCCCAGAAATGGAAATACATGGGTTTTTTTCCCTTTGATAATTAAAACCATATGTTTACATTTCTTAAAAGATGTTTAAAATTATTGAAACTTAATACACATCTACTTTTGTAGAATGAAACTCAAATGAATTTCGAGGAAGAGACAAAGAAAACTGTGGTAGGTGATATTTTTTACTGCCTACAAATAAAATGATTGTAAAGGTGTAGTAACACTATTAAAAATTGGTAACAGTGATTTTTTTTCATAAAATATACATGTTTATATAAAAGACTTATTCCATGAGACTTTCACGCAGACATTTAGTTATTTATATCTTAAATGGGTTAACTTTTAGGAAGAACATTTGGCTTTTCTGAATTTAAAAGATGAGATGATTGAAAAGAAGGATGGAAAAATAAAGACAAAAGCAAAACAAATAGCAGATGCTAAGCAAAAGAAACCGAGAACCAAGAGGACAAAATTGAGAATGGAGAAAGAAGAGGAGAATTTGAAGAGAAAGATATTGAAAAAACAAGTTGAGATGCTGAAAGTGGAGGTAGAGAAGAGATTAAAGACAGATGGGAAAACCAAGGAAAAAAGAAGACAGAAATCAGAGACAGAAGAAATAAAAGAAGAAAAGTTACATACCAAGAGAAGAATATGACCCATCAGAGGAAAACACAGAGGAGGGGAAATCAAACACAAATAAAAAGAGTGAATCACAAGAAGCATCGAATGAGGAGAAATCAGATGTAAGAGAAAGGATAAAGCCAGCTAAGGAGGAAGAGAAGGATAAATCAGATGAAGGAAATAAGACAGGGAAGTCAGAGAAGGATAAATCAGATGAAGGAAATAAGACAGGGAAGTCAGAGGAGGATAAATCATATGAAGAAAATAAGACAGAGAAGTCAGAGGAGGAAGAGAAGGATAAATCAGATGAAGGAAATAAGACAGGGAAGTCAGAGAAGGAAGAGAAGGATAAATCAGATGAAGGAAATAAGACAGGGAAGTCAGAGGAGGAAGAGAAGGACAAATCAGATGAAGAAAATAAGACAGAGAAGTCAGAGGAGGAAGAGAAGGATAAGTCAGATGAAGAAAATAAGACAGGGAAGTCAGAGAAGGAAGAGAAGGATAAATCAGATGAAGGAAATAAGACAGGGAAGTCAGAGGAGGAAGAGAAGGATAAGTTAGATGAAGAAAATAAGACAGGGAAGTCAGAGGAGGAAGAGAAGGATAAGTTAGATGAAGAAAATAAGATAGAGAAGTCAGAGGAGGAAGAGAAGGATAAATCAGATGAAGGAAATAAGATACAGAAGTCAGAGGAGGAAGAGATGGATAAGTCAGATGAAGGAAATAAGACAGGGAAGTCAGAGGAGGAAGAGAATGATAAGCCAGACAAAGAAAAAAAGATAGAGACTTCAGAGGAGGAAGAGAAAGACAAGTCAGACAAAGGAAGTAAGTTAGATATGTCAGATTATAAAGAGTTTGATAAAACAGAAAAAGGAAATAAGAAAGAGGCTTCAGAGGAGGTAGAAAACTATAAGTCAGATAAAGGAAATGAGAAAGAGACATCAGAGGAAGAAAAGAAGGAAAAGTTAAACAAAGAAAACACCAGAGAGACGTCAGAAGAGGAAAAGAAGGATAAAACAGACGAAAGCAAAAAGAACGAGACTTCAGATGAGGAAGAAAAGGATAAATCAGACAATGGAAAAAAGATAAAGACGTCAGTGGAAGAAGAGAAGGATAAACCTGACAGAGGAATTAAGATAGAAACGTCAGAGGAGGAAGAGAAGGAAAAGTCAGACAAAGAAAATAATATAGAGATATCAGAGGATGAAGAAAAGGATAAACCAGACAAAGGAAATAAGATAGACAAGTCAGAGGAGGAAAGGAAGGAAAAGTCAAATGAAGGAAATAAGATAGAGACTTCAGAGGAGGAAAAGATGGATAGGCCAGACAAAGAAAATAAGATAGAGACTTTAGAGGAAGAAGAGAAAGAAAAGTCAGACAAAGGAAATAAGTTAGATACGTCAGAAGACGAAGAGATGGATAAAACAGAAAAAGAAAATAAGAAAGAGACTTCAGAGGAGGAAGAGAAGTTTAAGTCAAACAAAGAAAATAACATAGAGACGTCAGAAGAGGAAAAAAAGGATAAAACAGACAAAAGTAAAAAGAAGAAGACTTCATGGGAGAAAATAAAGGAAAAGTCAGACAAAGGAAATAAAATAGAGACGTCAGTGGGGGAAAAGAAGGATAAACTAGACAAAGGAAATAAAATAGAGAAGTCAGAGGAGGAAGTAAAGGATAAATCAGATGAAGGGAATAAGATAGAGAAGTCAGAGGAGGAAGAGAAGTATATGTCAGACAAAGGAAATAAGACAGAAACGTCAGAGGAGAAAGAGAATGATAATTCAGATAAAGGAAATATTATAGAGAAGTCAGAGGAGGAAGAGAAGTATATGTCAGATGAAGGAAATAAGATGGAGACTTCAGAAGAGGAAGAGAAGAATAGGCCAGACAAAGGAAATACGACAGAAACGTCTGAGGCGAAAGAGAAAGATAAATAGAGAAAGAGAAATAAGATAGAGAAGTTAGAAAAAAAGAGAAGGATAAGACAGACAAAGAAAATAAGATAGAGACTTCAGAGATGGAAGAGAAAGAAACGTCAGACAAAGGAAATAAGTTATATACATCAGAGGTTGATAAACAGAAAAGAAAATAAGAAAGGGATGTCAGATGAGGAAGAGAAGAATAAGTCAGACAAAAGAAATAAGAAAGAGACACCAGAGGAGGAAACGAAGGATAGGTCAAACAAAGAAAATAACATAGAGACGTCAGAGGAGGAAGAAAAGGATAAGTCAAAGAAGGGAAATAAAATAAAGACGTCAGAGGAGGAAGAGAAGGATACATTGGACAAATGGAATAAGATTGAGTCATCAGAAGAGAAAGGGAAAAATAAGTCATTAAACAAGGCGAATAAGATAAAGACATCAGAAGAGGAAAAGAAAGATAAGTCATTAAACAAAACGAATAAGATAAATACGTTAGAGGAAGACGAGAAGGATACATCCGACAAAAGGAATAAGATAGAGACATCAGAGGAGAAAGGGAAAAATAAGTCATTAAACAAAGCGAATAAGATAAAGACATCAGAAGAGGAAGAGAAGTATAAGTTAGAGAAAGGAGATAAAATAGAGACGTCAGAGGAGAGAGGGATGGAAAAGTCAGAAGCTGAAAAACAGGAGGAGAAAGTCGATGTAGAAAAGAAAATTGATAATTTAGAGGAAGAAATGGGGGAGGGGTCAGATATAGAAAAGAAGATTAAGATGTTGGAGGCAGAAAAACAAGAGAAGAAAATAAACACAAAGAAAAGAAAAGAGGAAAAATTAAAGGCACAAAAGGAGGAGGAAACAGAGATTAAGAACGAGAGAAAAATGCAAACATGTAAGGAAGAAAGATTGAAAGGAGAGAAGGAGGAGACAAAATTTGATATGGAGGATGACATTAATACCCAGAACAGGCAGCCTTTCTGGTACAGATTCCTATGTGGAACATCATGTTTATCTGTGAGTACATTTTTTTCGCTATCATACATGTATTTTTCACTATACAATTTGTGACTTGATGTGGTTCATTTGTTTTATTAATTATATATTTGTAATTTGATTTTTTTAAACACATATCTTTTCAGAAGAAGGAAAATCAGAATAAAAAGAAAGAAATAAAGAAAAGAACAGAGAGAACTGGATTTCTGGAGAGAATGAGGAAACTTGTTAAAAAATAACGTTTGAAAAATATAGATTTACAAATGGCAGCAAAAATATGTATTTATAAATGTATTTATTTGTTAATATTTTTATTTGTTTACATATATTTTTATATCTTTGATTATATAAAGTTATTTTATAAACCTTTGTTTTGTGCTTCTATTATCACAGTACCAATGTTACTTAATTTCTTCACATATAACAGAATGAAATATATGGAGATAACGAACAGTATTCAAGCTCAAAAGTCTGTTCGAACAATACAAATCAGGAGCAGAGCAAACTTATATAAGAACCTCTAAAACATCTGAGGTGGGATCAGGTGCCATGGAAGAGTGAGTATCCCCTGCCAACCGGTCACACCCGCCGTTTGCTCCTTGTCATGATCGGGAAATAATGGAAAAATCCGTCGACAATTCAGTTGGTAAAGCCTAACAATAATTATGAAAAACGCCAGTCAGCATTTGCCTTAATAATAGATTGTATTTGCTGACAAGGTCATTGTATCGACCATGGGGCATACCAAATGATGACTTTAAAGGAAACTGTTGATATTCTTGTTTCATCAACTTGTTTTTTCAATAACTTACCTCGTTTTAGAAATTGTTCATACGTAGAGCATGCTCTTGCGTATCGAATCAACTGAGAGATATAAACCCCATATTCAGGTGATGAAGGTATATTGCTGCATAAGTATAAAGGAAGTTGACGATTGAAAAGTTAAAGTCATCACGTTTATCATAAAGCTTTGCTGTTAGATTAACGTATTTTTGTAGTAAAATATCCAAACATGAAACAGATGTGTCAGACTCTGTGGTATCTTTTATTTCAAGCTCACTGGGATATATCGTGTCGATATATGAATGGAAATGACTATTCTTAATTAATAATACGTCGTCGATATATCTAAATGTCGAGTTAAAGGCCACAGCAAGGGTTTTCTTTTTCTCATGCATAAGATTTTGTATAAATTTTGCTTCATATGAATACAAAAATTGGTCTGCTAATACGGAGGCGCAATTGGACCCATGGAAATTCCAACAGATTGTTGGAAGACCTGGTCTCCAAAAACCACATAGATATTGTCAATCAGAAAGTCACGCATCTTTTCAATATCAACTTCAAAGTACTTGTGTGTACAATCAGAATGTTTTTAACAAAATAATTTTGCAAATGACCAATGACAAGGCACGTAAATTTACGAGTTTCATTTTCATTGAAAAATATTCAAAACTAACAAATGATTTGAAGAATTTCCTCCTTAGGAAGGGAGCTATGGGTATAAGTTGGATTACCACTTGTAGAATTAAATCCCATTTCCTCTAAAATACAATACCATGCGAATGAATTTTGAATAGAATACATTTTGTTCCTTTTCCGAGATCCATTGCTGATTTCTCAGTGAGCCATAACTTTTTCGCATAGTTTTAACGATGATAAAAGTTTTTAATTTTATGCATACATTCCAACATTCTTTTTAACATAAAAATACAGAAAAGGCTATATAAATATTGAAAAATTCTATATTTTTTAGTATACAACTTGAGCAAATTTGAATCGGCACTACCAAACAACTATTTTTACATACAGGTATATTTATTCTTTCTCAAAAAAATAAATGAATGAATGAATAAATCAAAAAAAGAAGAAAAATGGAAAAAGTGTCCTGTTTATTTTATATAAGATATGGTTCCTAGTATGACGTAAATAAACTTGGGAATCAAACTGAATTTGTGCTACATGGAAACGTGTTCATCTCAATTTGACTTCGAAATAATCAGAGAATAAAATCTGAAGCGTTTTGCTGTATTTTTTTCTAAACAGAACTTTGCACTGGGACGCTTGCATTTTATCATTTTCTTGTCAAAAAGTTTCTGAGACATTTTGTAAGAATTGATGTGGATTATTAATAGTTATAACTCCCCCCCCCCCCCCTGCTCTGAAAAAGAACTAAAAAAAATTCGATATTTTCATATTTTTCAATCTTCTTTATGAAAAATCTTGACCCAGGTGTCATGTTTGTATTGCAGAAAGCTTCTTCAGGTGAGGGTACACGGTTTAGTTTTAATTTAACGGGGGGACACAGTGCTGGTATCGGGTTGGCATTAAATCAAAGTACTAGTATACCTAGACAAACAAAACCAAATATTCTCTTTTCATTAATTAAGCAGGAAATAGTTGTTAGAAAAAATATACTGTGCTCAGGGAAAATGTCCCACAGATCCGAGGGCAAAAAATGGTCAATGATAAAATGTGACATGATTTACGGATCCTTTAATATACAGGTGTCCCTTGCCATTGACTGACAGTTCCTGGTCAGTGGTCACAATGAGATGAAACAAAGTAAAATAGGGCAAAGATAGGGAGACACAGTTCTAAAAATACTCAAGGTAAAATAAGCCAAAGATAAAGAGAGGCAGTTCTTAAGAAGTGTAATAACCATACGTAATTTCTGTGAAAATTGGGCTCCCAAAAATATGCCCCATCCTCTTACTTCTTGGAGTTGGAAACGAATTTCATGTTCAAATGTACAAACAAATGTCAGGAATAAAACCAATGAAATGCTGTTTGAATAAAGAGTTAACTTGATTTTAAGATTCCTTATATCAATTTGACTTTTGAAAGATTGTACTGCAGTGCAGATCCAACAGGATTACTAGTATTAAGACTTGTCATTGTACTTATATTTACTAGTATTGCTAAGAAAAAACCTAATCCCTTTGTTTATAAAATGTACATGTATATCTCGTGAAGCGTCTGACTGTTGAGCTTGTGTATCACTTGAAAATACAACCTCTGTCAGAAATTTTAATCTAGATCACTAGTTCAGAAAATATAGCTGATAATTGTCTCCAAATGCAGTCATATACAGATATCCTGACGGCAAGCAGGAGTTATATACAGCGTCCAGTCAGGAAGCATATAGTTTGTATCCCTTCTGTCGTCATCCAGGCTTGAGCAACGACGAGGTCAACGATGGTCTAGTCATTCACCCAATTTAAACGTTACGGTAATCATCAGACGTTATGGTAACCATCTGACGTTATGGCAATCATCAAACGTTACGGTAATCATCTGGCGTTACGGTATTCATCTGACGGTAATCAACTAACGATACGGTAATTAATTGACGTTATGGTAATTATCTGACGGTACAATTATCATTTGACATTACAGTAATCATTGTTATTGTAAACTTTACGGTAATTATCTAATATGTTGGTTATCATCTCCCGTTACGTTTATCATCTGACGTTACGGTTATCATCTGACATTGCGGTAATAATCTGTGTATTTCATACTTTAACTAGCATAGGGAAATTTCAAAATACTCATGTATATAAAGTTGTCAGTAGCTGTGCAATAAGTTAGAAAAACTGTCCATTCTTAGACAAAATTGCACTGTTTTTTTTTTTAAATAAGAAAATGGACAATCTTTATCCTTGTAGTGTATTCGCTACACGGCATGTGAACACAACTGGGCGTAGATATACATGTCAAGTAGAAAATTAATTTTAAAATTTTGATACAACCCCAAAAGTCCGATCGAAACGTAAATAGGAGGTACAATATAAATTGAGGATTCTGTAAATCTCTCGTTTAATATATATCAATGGTATACAGGAGTTGCGAATAAAAGATTGGTAACCCCCCCTCCCCATATATTATAAAAAGAATGGCAGTGTTCACGTATTTTTAAGGGAAACCCCAAATTTGTGTCCGGTCGAAGCGTAAAATAGAATATGTATACGTAATTCCGCTCTATGTCAAAGATATAAATATCGAGGGGTGTGCATCGTGTGTAGGAGGTCATTTTCAGGCTAGTTAACTGGGGTAAGGTTACAACTTCCAATCCTCCCTTACCACTTTTCTCCCATAAAATAAATATTACTTCGCGTTATGTTTACTTTTTATAGGACGGGAAGATCTCAAGGTGTTGAGTCATTTTTATTGATATAAAACAAACACTGGAAATGATTTTTTATTTGACATATTAATATTTACATTTCCAATGCAAATATTTTTCCTTAAGATTCTTTGCAAACCTAGAAAAAGTTTACGTTCTCATGAACTACTGCGGGAGAGTAAGAATATATATTTCCATTGTGATGTAATTGAAGGAAAAATAGTGCAATTTTTTTTTTTCAAAAATGAACGTTGAATGACAAAAATATGTGGCCAATCATTAAAAAAATAATGTAAATATGATATATGATTTTAAATTATGAGAATTCATGACTACAACGCTTCAACGCTTCAAGTCTGCATATTTATCATGAAGCGCTAACGTGTTTCATGAAATATACCGACGTGAAGCGTCGTAGTTCACGTCCTCATGAATTCTCAAAACTTAAATTCATCTCTTAAAAAAAATACATTAAACGTTTTATCACTTTCTTTCATAAATTCCTACTTAGGATGTCTTACGACATTTTTAAAACTATTCCCAGATATTCTTTGAAAAGCATAAGTAAGTAACATTCGGGTCGGAAATCTTTGACTAAAAGATGTACTTGCGTCTGAAAGTAAAACTGACCATAATCGATCGGCAAATCTTTCCGATGCCGATGAAGCCAATTTAAAGAGTTTCCGAGGCAAGTGAAGTTACATTATGTCAATAGTGAAATGCCTTAGAATTTTTTTTTGTATAAGAAATACATATGTACTTTTAAATGCTCTTTTAGAAAAAAAAAATATTTAAAAAAAACTAGAACACATCTTGAAGCATGTACAGGTGTGCAGTCTGTTAACCAAATTATTTTTGAAGAGCTTCATAAACACTTCTGCAACTAGTTGTGAACATATAGTCATGTTTGTATAATTTATATATAAGAATGAATAAGAGCATACAATATACATGGGCAATCAAAGTTTTATACAAGGGAAAAATGAAAAAAATCATCTGAAGAAGCACAGAAAAAGTCGTGATTAGTCATTTTTATATAAAAGAGTCCTCAGGTATGGTGTATATTCAAGTTTATTCAAATCATGACCCTCTGGGTGGGGTGGAGCCACAAAAAGCAATCAAATTTAAGTTTTACATAGGAATAATAAGGAAAAATCTACTAGAATCTTTAAAAAAACATGTTTTGTATCATATTTATATCGAATTTTCCTCAATAAGTAGTTCAGATTCTTTTTTTAAAATCATGTCCGCCGAGGAAATGGTGGGGCCAAAATGTGCGACGTTTTACATAAGGGAACACAGTAACAATCTTTAAAAAATCTTCTTCTTAAGAACAGGAAAAGCTAAGATTAGTCATTATTATATAGAAGTAGCCTCATGCAGGTAATTATTATGAAAGTTTGTTCAAATCATGACCCCTGTGGGTAGTGTGGGGCTACAATAAAATAATACTTCTATATACTATATACAATACTACATATTGTTGTTATTTACATATTGTCGTCAGCGACAATATGTACCTACCCTCACTGCCGATGGACGACAATTGTCGTATTGTACATATTGTCGCAGGTGTAACGACGAAAAGTGACCCCCGTAGAATATTGACCGGGAGATCAAATTTCTTCGTAGAAAAATGACCCAACGGTCAATTTTCTACGGCAAGTAGGGTCATTTTTCGACCGTAAAAAACCCTTCCAGGCCAGTAATTCTATGACTCCACACACGTTGAAAAATGACCCCCATAGAAATTTGATCCCCTACTTTTTCACCACAATTTATAATTAAACCTTTAGAAATGAGATGTGATATGCGTTAATCCGAGGTTAGGGAGGGTCGGTGAAGGCCTAGAGTCTCCAGATTTTTTTTCTTTCAAATGTATATTGGGGGAGGAGCAAAGTATCTTCCCCTTCTTAACGCCACTTCTCAATATTAGCATCATATACATTTAGGTACGTATACAATGTACGCTGTATGGTTTTTTTGCTTGCATCCCAATGAGTATACATTATTGAGGAGCATAAATCCATATATATATATATATATATATATATATATATATATATATATATATATATATATATATATATATATATATATATATATATATATAAATCCGTTTTGTTTTTTTTTCTTGGTATTTGGTTTATTTCTCTCACAGGTTTTGTTCCGAAAATATGAGGCGCCGTTTTGGTATTTACTGCCAAAAAGTGATATCACCTATTCGAATAGGTGATATCACCTATTCAATTGGTGATATCACCTATTCGAATAAGTGATATCACCTATTCAGCTTCTGAATAGGTGATATCACCTATTCGAATAGGTGATATCACCTATTCGAATAAGTGATATCACCTATTCGAATAGGTGATATCACCTATTCAATTTGAATGAGTGATATCACCTATTCGAATAGGTGATATCACCTATTCGAATAGGTGATATCACCTATTCGAATAGGTGATATCACTTATTCGAATAGGTGATATCACTTATTCCTTTTGAATAGGTGATATCACTTATTCGAATAGGTGATATCACCTATTCAAATCAAATAGGTGATATCACCTATTCGAATAGGTGATATCACTTATTCGAATAGGTGATATCACTTAATCATTTTGAATAGGTGATATCACTTATTCGAATAGGTGATATCACCTATTCAAATTATTTATGAAATAACAACTGCTCCCAAGACTATAGCCTTTAATTCTCATTTACTTTCACTTTCGTTTTATAACTTACCATTCTTGCAGACAATGGATTACAGCTTCGCATTTAGTTTTAAGCAGCCCAGTAGAATTTGTAGTTTGTTTTGCTCACAAATTATATTTATTACACTTATCTATCATGTATACTATAGGAAAATTCAAAGGGTCTGTAAGTCTCGTTGACTTTCACTTTCGTTTTATAACTCCCGGGTACCTGAGCGTTCTTGGAGACAATGGATTACTTAAGTTGTAAGCATCGCAGTGGAATTATTAAACTTGTAGTTTGTTTTGATTCCCGATTGTTGCAAAGAAGAGGAGAAAATGGATTGATAGATGCAGGTAAATAGCGTTTAATTGCTTTATTTTTTCATTACATAACGTAAACACAAGCTATTCCGAGGGGGCCAAGATTAGCCAACATACTTAAGCATAAAGGGAAAATTAAATCGTTTTTATTCTAAAATCGTCTGTATTCAAAAGGCACGCTTATCTACAGATTGGTTTCATAAATTTAAAGCATTAATTTAGCTTACAATATGGTATAATTTGGAGTATTGGACAGGTATACATGAGATTGGGATATTGAATGCGATGTCATTGAAAGCAAATAAAAAAATAGATGTACCCAAATGCATCGACCATGGGAATACAAAGTTGTATACCACGTCGATAACATATGATCTTTGTAGAAAACACATTTTTTTTTAATTTAATTACTACAATAAATAAAAATGGTCAGCTCAAAATTGGTCATTCTGTAGGCTACCCTGTCTATTCAGAAATAAAAATGGTCACATACACTCAAAAAATAATTATTTTTTATTCTACAAAGAATAAAGCATTTTTTTCATTTACACATACAAACTGTATTAACTGCCAAGTTTCATGACCACCCCCCCCCCCCCTTTTCCAATACTTCTACAATTATGAGACAGACTTTTTTTTTCTTGAAATAGGCATTTTTCTCCATTTGTCATAACATATTACAGGGCTGCACAAGGTACTGAAAAAGGGACAGCGCTTTGAGTGAATGTGTTATCCATGTATCTGCAAATGAAGCAGATCCCCCAGTTATTATACTCATGGAGAGTGTAACAACTTCCAACTTGTTAATGACGGAACTCCATTTAAATCAGGTACAAGTTAAAGTTTAGGCTGCACAATTCTTTATTACAATATTCAAAACTTAATAATTCAGGATCAAGTTCACACAAGCTCACATTCCATGGTTACTTACAACACCATTATGCTAGATAAATTTGTTATACACTTTCATGTTAAATAGTCAAATTTGATTGGTTTAAAAAACATTTGTTAACAAGTACTACCGGTATTACCATACTGCATGCCAGACATTACATCCCAATGGTTGAAAATGCATGACTACGGGTAACAGTATATATAGTAATAAAAAATGTTAACTGTGCAGAATGTTTGCACGTTCGTTTCACCTTGTTGTTTTCTTTAAAATGCATTCTATAACAAGAAAAATATTACCTGTTTATTTTGGGTGATGTGAAATTCTTACCCCTTAAAAACCATTGCTGACCGAGGCGAGGTCAGCGATGGTTTTTGTGGTATAACAATTTCACGTTATCCTACTAAACATGTAATATTTTCATGTTATATGTACTTCTATTTGTAAATGTTAATGACTGTGAAAAACATAAATATTTATAAATTAGTAAAATCAATTTAATACACTATGAATACACAAAAGGACAAATTTGTACATAATTCTCTATGATTTGGTTAATTAGTTTATATAAAGGATGTAAATGGACATGACATATCATTGTTAATATTCAAGAAAGTGTTCACTGTTTTTCTTGTAGATGCTCCTTTCCATCTGATGTTTTCCAGGTTTTTGTGAAAAGTTTTCTTAAAAATGGCACCATTCAACTACAAATACTATGCCAGTGGAACTGTGATATCAATCAACTGCTTATGACACTATTAATTGGCAGAGAATTTACTTTTTTTTATTTGGGACAAGCAATCTGTTTCAAACATTTTATACCTGCAAATTGGTACATGTACTTCATGAAATGCTTGAAGGATGCTAAAGGCTACTGAAATTCCAAGCCAGATGAAATTCAAAAGGATTGATACAAAAGTCATTTGAAGTTTTCTATTCTTAGTGATGAGTGTTTTTCAGGATGCCCTCTGATATCATAGGTACAACTGGTCACTGTCCTTTGTTAGTTACACATGCAGACAACTTATTAAGGCAGTGATATAAGTAGCTCGAAGTGATGCTTTATTGTTTTCCTCAGATTTATAACCTGGATTGATCTCTGATGCAGTAATTTAAAGCCATGTCTTTTCACTGTCACAAAGTACTGAAATAAAAATAATTTTGATTAAAATATTTCTTTTAATTCACATCATTAAATTTTTAAGCTACAGAAATTCAAATTAATTACCTATTAGTAAATAGAAATCTTTAATTGATTAGCAAGCCTTTGCATTGTCAGATCCTTTTCTGAAAGGGCCATTTACCTTTAACAATGTCAGGACAGGTGAGGCAACTGGCTGGTCTTCATGCTGGAAGTGTGTGTTAACTCTGTAATCTTTTTAAACAAAACCATCCAGTGATGTCCTAAGATTGCCAGATGAGCAGACATATACCTGTATTTAAGAAAGATTCTGTAACATGACATAGAATTTTTGCACAGCTTGACGCACAACTGATGGTATCTTAGGTGCCTGCAAAATAATAAATCTGGCACATATTTATTTATTTGATACAAATCAGAACAAAATTTGTCCTTTTACAGAACAAATTATTTTCATTTTAAAGAAAAGAGAAATGCATATGTACTGTTTTAATACATATAACCTGTATTATTGGATATTTTCACCCCATTCTAATTTTTAAAATATTCACTCTTTCACCCTTGAAAACAATTTTGCCCTTTTAAAATTTGATCAGACACATTTGTGTTTAAAAGATATATGCTGCCTTCTTCGAATTTGTCCCGTTTTAAATTCACCTACTTGTAAGGAGGGCAGAATGAGAAAAATAAAACTTAACTGGGGCGAAAAATTTCCAGAACAAAGTACCATTACTTGCCTGCCTGTTGTACTATAACTCGATCCTCCAACCTTACAATATTCTATAATCATTGCTTTCATGCGATACCCCCCAGTGGATTGATGGTCTCTTTTCCAAATTATATGCACTTTCTAAAAAGAATGAATTTGTCAATTTATAAAATTTAGTATTACAAGTTAATAAAGACAGTAAAACAATGTTAACAACATTTATATGCAAATGAACCTCTGTACAAATCACTTATAAATGATTGACAACTTGTATGGAATATATCGAATACCCTTAATTTTGACATTTGGAAACCCAGCGTTTAGGCCAAACAAAAAATATGTGTGGTTCTGGTTACACCTCCAAAAAAAATAGGGAAGATGGGTAGGGATTTTTTATTTTTTTTTTTTTTTTTAACAAAATGATTTTCTAAATTTTTCCAAATAATACCTATTTCTTTTCGTTAGCATAAGTGAACTATTTTATGTGTAGAGTGTTAGATATGTTTTCTCTTAAGCATATGGATTAGATATGTGCTTTAATGTGTGAATAAAATGTCTTGGGTATTTAAACAGTTGTTTGCTGATTCTATTCATTCGAGTTCATACTCATCCAGAAAATACAATGTTTGAAGAAAATCAGCATGAGCAAATTGAATTATTTAACTGTTATTTGGATATTATATTTTCTTTTTTTAGAATGTTAAGTTTTTACGAAGATGATAAGTGCTGTCCTTGTTTTTAAAGGATGATATTAATTTCAGAATTGTATATTATAAGTAAAATTAATGGATATCTTAAGCATTATACATTAAATCTTAAATATAGATCATGATTTCTCCATCGGAATCTGCTGCGGAAGTCTTAAACTTTATACAGGTATATAAAATCTAAAATTGTATATTATAGAATGCGAAAAAACAGAAATATTTTGTGAAGAGCTGAGTATGTAAATCATAACTAATAAATGTTTTGTTTATTTTGAATTCAGTCTTTTCCAACTATGGTTCAGAAAAGAAATGTTTTATTTGTGGATGAACAGAGTGAAGGAGAAAATAAGTGGCATTTCGATGTGGCATGAAATATACTAGTCAACATTGGTAGGGGGCACCCTAGTTATGAATATGAAACAAATATTTTTAAATCAACAAGATGTGTTTGTGAAACACTGATGCCCCCATATGGCATCTTATGGCGAAGGTTAAAGTTTCTCAAATGCAAGTCAAAATCCAGGCCAAAAGATAAAAAATGTTAAATTTGAAAGCCCTAGCTGCAACTGTTCAAAAGTTATGGCAAAGGTTAAAGTTTTTTAAAAGTAAGTAAAACATCACGGTCAAGGTCAAAGTTGTTGGTATCCAAAGAAAGGTCTTGTTTCAAGGATTACATATGTGAAGTATGAAAGCCCTAGCTCCAACCGTTCAAAAGTTATGGCCAAGGTTAAAGTTTTTCAAAAGTAGGTCAAACTCTAAGGTCAAGGTCAAAAGGTCATAGTTGTTGGTATTCAAAGAAAGGCCTTGTCACAAAGAATACACATGTGAAGTTCGAAACCCCAAGCACCAACTGTTCAGAAGTTATGGTCAAGGTTAAAGTCTCATAAAATTTTGCAAAAGTGGGTCAAACTCCAACGTCAAGGTCAAAAGGTCAAATATGATGGTACCCAAAGAAAGGTCTTGTCACAAAGAATACACATGTGAAATATGAAAGTCATAGCTCCAACCAATCAAAAGTTATGGGCAAGGTTAAAATTGACAACAGACAGATAGACAAACAGATAAACAGACAAACAGATAAACAGACAAACAGACAGACAGGACAAAAACAATATACCCTCGGGATCTTTCGATCCAGGGGCATAAAAATAATGAAAACACAATCTTTTCTTTTTGTAAAAAATAAAGTCCAAGGTGAACATCCTTTTGTTTAAAATCAGTGTTTATAAATGAAATTAATTACTTTTATCCAGAATAATTCTTATTTTACTTAATAATAAATTTTGAACGATAAACTTTTAAGAGCTGTCAGAGGAAAAGAATGTGACACCTATACTTTGTACAGTAATGTTTAAAACAAAATAAATCACCTAAGCAAGATGACATAGAATGATTCAAATTCGTCAGAATTACAAATATTTAATATTATTAAAATTTTAAATCCTTTCATGAAACCTTTTTGCCTCATTGAAGACTTCATACATCCAAGCTCATTTCTCATATATATTGGTGTTTTGCAAGTTGACTTTATTCAGGTGAAATCAGCAGTCTTCTTTTTCACGTTTCCTCATGAACTGTTTTTTTTCTACTTTTGGTTTAAAAGAAACGATCCTGATATAAATTATTTAATAATTTACAAGTTAATCTATCTTACACATTGGGCTAATTCTTGCATAATCAATGCAATCAAATAAATGTTTTCTCATGTTATCTTCCCTCTAACTCCAAAAAACGTTACCTGGCCAGCTGTCTGTGTGCTTTCAAGCGAGAAGTGATTTCCTATCCTGACTTCACACCTTTGCGTGCATTAATAATAAAGGGACTAATCAGCATGCACTTGTTATAAACCAGCTGTAAACAGAGCAACTAATTGAATCTCGCCACTCTTGGGCATATTTATTTAATTTTGGCAACCAAAAAACAAACAAACAAAAAACATGGCGCTGGAAAAAGGTATACTGCTGCGCCATGCTAGCTTGCTTTAGATTTAACACCATCAAACACTTGCACTACGTGTTGAAACGATTTTTGCATGGAGGTCGCCATTGCTGGAACTAAAACTAATACCGAAGTGGATGACGGAAATCACGGAAAATTCCGGAAAATAAATATGAAAATTGCCAGAAAAAAGTTAAGGGTTGGGGATCTAAAATAGCAACGGTCGGGTAACGGGAACCACACATATTTTTTTATTTGGCCTAATAATATTCCATACATGATTGAGCTGTCACCTGATGAACCTTTAATTCTTTTCTATTTTTTATATGCTTTATATGTATATGAATTATAAGAGTAAATGCAAGTCCAAAAACTTATTTTGTGACATCAATTTCATACCTGTATTTGAGTTGCCTTTTTGAGGATATACCAGGTAGATTATTCAAAGTCGATGTACATGTAGTCTTACATGCTGCAGTTCTCTTGTACTTTAGCTATAAAATAAATTTTAATGTATACAATTGTGTAAGATGAAAGAATATTTCAAACACTGAAACAGACTGAAACCTTAACAGACCAAAACTTTAACCAAAATATCCTCTTTAACATGCTCTCTAAACTGAAGAGTATGGTCATATAATTGCAGTCATATGAATTTTTTTCAATGATAAATGCAGAGAGAATTTGCAGAATATATAAAGAAAGTCTTATCGTTGGGAAATAAGCAGGTCCAGTACAATCTCTTAATTTAGCTATATAGCTTGAAATAGCTATATAGCTTTATTAAGCTATTCAAAATAGCTTAATTTAGCTATTTATATGCAGTTTTTCACAAAAATTATTTTGGTAAGAAATAGACAAAAAGTCGCATGTATTTGACTATTCATATATGTGCTATGGGCTATCGAAACAACAAGCAAAATCAAAGATATCTCCAACTTTGCAACTTTTGAATACTTTTAAGCAAAAGATAAATTTCTATTATTTGAGTAACTGTCCACTACCTTGTGTGCATTGAGGCATGGATAAGTATGATTGCTTCTCATTGTACTGAATTATTACCAATCAATTATCTTCTTGACCATAATTGGCCTCCTTTATAATTTCATTGAAGAAGTAACTGTATCAATTGCGCATGTAGCCTAAAAACTTTTAGAACTTTGAGTACAAAGTCTCTTTAATTTGTTTCTATTTTCCTAATTATCTCCCCTTGTTTAAGGGTCACAACCCTAGTTTTAGTATAAACGGAAGCCCTTGGCCCAAGGATACCCTGTGACAAATTTGACAATAATTGGCCAAAGGGTTCTTGAGTTATGGCCCATATTCTAAAAAGTTTACGCACACCGCACAAATGGCCATAGCATTAGCTCTTTGGGCCTTTGGCTCAGAAGAGCTAAAAATGAACCTCTTACATTGATTTTTGGTTGATATTTTTTACAGTTTTTTTATGAACAATGTACAGTATTTTCACCCAAATTCCAGTATTTTGAGGACTGCTGTACAGTATTTGGGCCTAAAAATTATTACATGAATGCAAGGAGATTTTAATGAGTGAGTTTTATAATGCATCAATTTCAGATGAGTTCAAGGTTGAGTATCATCACTGCACCAAGGTGCGACTTTTTGTGCATGCTGAGAAAAGTACACATTTAAGAAAAACTGATATAAAATAGCTAAATTAAGCTTTTCTGAATATAGTTAGAATAATCTAACTGTGTCTCGGGACAAGCCCTCACCACAGTTAGAATATGTCCCATATACTTGCAACGTAGCAAATCGGAGTGGATCCACTCCGAAATGATTTTGAAGAATACAAAAGGAGTTGCATTGAAAATAACTACCAAATTAATCATAACAAACATTTTTGAGATTGTATATGCCTTTTAACCTACAAATTAATCCATATATATACGAAAATTCAACTCATTTTCTCAACGT